TCAACCTACGTTTGCACTCGGTTTCACGGACACATACACCACCTGTTCGATCAAGCACGTAACCCATTTTACAGAAACATCCTTGCACGCACTGCAAATTGCAAATTGCAGTAGAGTTGCTCCCATCACATGTCTTAGGGCACGCGCTTCCACACTGCTGGAATTCCTCGTTCAATCCGCACTTCGCTGCAATTTTAAGTACATTTATTTCCGCCGATGCATGGAAGAGGTATTATCAACTACTGTTAGATTCATTGAATTGCTCACACTTTTCGATGAACGTCGTTCACCAATGCAAGTAATGAATGCTTTGGTATCGTACAAGTTCAAATTGTCTCAATTTCGACCTTTCCCACCACCAGACGAACGAAGAAAATGTCATGAATTTGAGGCTCAATTAAACTTAAAGAAAAGTCAACAGTGACATACACCGGATTGAACCGGCAACATTCATCACGATTTTGCCCTCCTTCAAGTCAAAGAGTAAGACGAGCCTAGGCGGATGAAACTATGATTCTGGAACACCCGGATCTGTTCCATAGCTCACAGTGGACAGTTATGAGCATTGTGGGATGATCGAAAATTTCGTGGTCAGTGCATATGGATCGAATCAAACACATTTATGAACTTCAAGGAAAAATTGCAAACAAAAATATGAGAAGTGCAAATGCATGATTTTTCATGGGGAGATGTTGTGTTTACATCACATTGGAATGAAGAACCCACATACGTTTGCACTGCGTGTCAGGAATGCACGTTCCGTTTTCTCGATCGCGAACATATCCATCCTTGCAGAAGCAACCCTGCACACAGTTTAATGTGCAGAGCTCAGGTTTGTCACGACCACAGATTCTTGGACATGCTGTTCCACATAAATTGAACTGTTCATTTGTGCCGCATTGGGCTGAAACATCCGATGTTAACCACACTCCTGCCCTTGCACACGTTTCACATGTGTGCCGCTGTTTACCAATAATTCAACACAATGTTCCCAAGGTGCTATGGAAAATTCGCTCTCAACAGTTTATCGCCAAAAGTTTCATCTTCGGAAGGTTTGTCGCTAGAAAGTTTCATGTCTGATCAATTTGTTTAACGGCGTCTCACCCAACGATGTTTCGCCTATTGGACACTTCGCATAATGGACATCTCGCCCGTTGCGTCTCCGAGAGTACTACCTCGAAGCATTCGGTTGTTGTCTGAATTCCTTGTTCTGCTTTCGTTAGCTCTTGGGGTTTTCAGTTTAGTAATCTAGTCGTTGAACATTTGTATGCTACACATCGTTTATTTTCACGGCCTTGTTTAGCTTTGATTGTGTATACGGTTTTTCTGGCTTTGAGTTATGCATAGCTTGTCACGAAAGTTTGTGATCTTCCTTGTGAGGTTGATGCTTAGGTCGAATTTGATGGAGTGGGGTGATGCTTTGGGGGAGGGAAGGTTGATGCTTAGGCTCCTCACCATTCAAACCTAGCTGTTCCATATCCTCCATACTCATAAGGGTAAATGTCGTTAGGCTGAATGTGGATTACGCGAAATGTCCATTAGACGCAATGTCGTCAGGCGAATAGCAGTGGAAAGTTTGTTCCAGGTACCTATCGTATCGACTGTTGTTGTGATTTATATTGCATTAAAATGAACCTATATCCGTCGTTGAACACTCCTTTTCGGAAATGCACCTTCCGTTTTCTCGATCAAGAACATATCCATTCTTGCAGAAGCAGCCCTGCACACAGTGTGCAGTGCAATTCTCAGGTTTGTTACGACCACAGATCCTTGGGCATGCTGTTCCACACATATTGAACTGTTCATTAGGACCGCATTCGGCTGTAAAAATGCAACCTGAGTTGTGCTCTTCCCAAGGGGATATGGAAGGCTCACCCCAACAGTTCATCTTCATAAGTTTTGTCTTCTGATAATCTGCCATTGGAAAGTTTGCCCGAGGTGCCTCTGCTATGATTTAAATTGTATGAAAATGAACCTACGTACGTTTGCATTGCGTTTCAGGAATGCACACTCCGTCCTCTCGATCAAGAATGTATCCATCGTTGCAGAAGCAACCCTGCACACAATTTAATGTGCAAAGTTCAGGTTCGTCACGACCACAGATCCTTGGGCATGTTGTTCCACATACTTTGAACTGTCCATTAGGACCGCATTGAGCTATAAAAAAGCAACATAAGTTGTGCTGTTCTCAATAGGATATGGAAGGCTCACCACCGACAGTTCATTTTCAGAAGTTTCTTCTTCTGAGGGTCTGCCTTAAATTGCATCAAAATGAACCTACGTACGTTTGCATTGCGTTTCAGGAATACACTCTCCGTTTTCTCGATCAAGAATGTATCCATCCTTGCAAAAGCAACCCTGCACACAGCTTTTTGTGTAAATTTCAGGTTCGTCGCGACCGCAGGTCCTTGGGCATGATGGTCCACATGCACTGAACTGTTGGTTAGGACCACATAGGGCTGAAAAATCCGACACGGATCACACTACTGTCCTAACGTCAAACTTTGATTATGATACGAAAAGTTTCACTCTTGTAGCGTTGTTTACCAATGATTCAATATAACGTCATAAATGTTCAGTATTGTGGGTGATATCATCCAGCTTATATTCACCTCAAGTCATAAAAGATTCACTCCAGCAGTTGAAGTGTGAAGTTTCCTCCGGGAAGGTTTCCTCTCAAGTTACGTCTGTCCCCGCACAGTTCTCTCAAGTTATTTTTGTTTCTCACGCTAAGTTAAATACTTCCCAAATGAAATAATAAGTAAGTTTATGCCCGTAAGTTTTTACGTACAACCAAAGCCATTCATCAAAGTGCTGTTTGATGGCGTGCATATAAACACGAAAAGATGAATCAAGTAAGCATTAATGGTAACTGTAAAATGTTCCAGAGTGCAGGTAACCCGGGGAAAACACCCCAAGAACGCAATTTCCAGGGGGAGGGTGACGAGGAGGGACTCCTTTCGTAAATCATTTTCATTGTATCTCACATGTACTTGTAGTATTATTGCTACTCACGACACGGCCGTTCTTGCAGAGACATGTTTTCGAACATTGCTACGTGCAAGGGAAGATGACTTTCCCTGAAAACGCTCTACCGCATCTGTTATATCCTGCGTTTACCCAGCATCTGTCTGATCGTGAAATATCCAGCATGACTTATTGCTTCTCAGGGCAAATTTTTTTGGTATCGATCACGTTCTATCATCAGATCAGTCAAAAATCTATGCGATTCATACCCACTCGGCCACATTCACTGAACATTCGTCGGTTCTATTCAATAAAGTCGCCGCATCCATCAACTAGTTGAATGCAGGAATTGGTGAGCTTTCGGACATTTCAGTTCCAAAAACCCTTATTTTTTGCCTCAAGAACGCTTCTCGACAACTGACTGTAGCTCATTATTTGAGCTAAATTAAGTTCTTACAATTTCTAGGTTCTAACAAAAAAATGTGATGATTGCTCGGCAATCAATCGCATCCATTTCTCAGTGACCGTAAAGTTGGCACAAAAATCCATTATATCACCACGTAAGTTCAGGGCCTAACAGAAATGAGTTCATAGCTGAGAACATTTGGTCGAAACAACCAATCCAATGTTGAGAAATACATCAATCTCGAAAGTTTTTGAATGATCTTGTAAGAACTTAGAAATTGCGCAGTGTTCTAGCAAAATGGACTGCGCACAGAGAAATTTTGACAGCTCTACGGTGAGGTTCTTATTTGTTCATGAAGATGATCTTACGTTTGCAGCTATCCTCAGGAATGCATATTCCGCCTCTTCGATTTAGTACATATCCGGCCTTGCAGAAGCAACCCGACACACAGCTTAGGTCACAAAGTTCAGGTGTCTCTTCACCGCAAATTCTTGTGCATGCCGATCCACATGAAGCATACTCTTCATTCAGCCCACAGTTGTCTGAAAAGAGTGTTGTTAACTGCTCAAATTCAAAAGTTCAAGAGCATCAGCTATAGACAGCAGCATTTCCATCCATGCTGAACAACTTGTGATGGCTGAGTGCAACGAAACATACGTTTATCATTGTTGAATGATGGCTGGAAGCTTCCCTCATTTACATGTTGCATGGCAGCAATAAATAGTTCAAAACACCAACGTTATACTGTTCACAGAACATTAATTCAAAACACTGAGGTTAGTTAACGCAGTAAGAACTATCGTGACGGTGTGGTATTAAGTAAGAGATATTATTCACGTTATCGTTACATTTTCTACTGCGCAGTTGATCAACAACATAACTTTAATTGTTTGATTTATCACTGATCGGGCGTGAACGCTTCGAGATGTTTTGAATCTTTAGTTCTTGAATCACAGTTCGACACTGAGGTGAAAAGTGTCCAATTGATCTCGCACTGTGTATCAGTTGGATTGGGAATGTAACATTTCTCACCGAAGCGTCACTTCACACTCTTGATTATAATCATGCAAATCGAATGTTGTTCTTACAAATGTCCACTGCAATTCTTGCAGATGTAACATTTCTTACAGAAACGTCACTCCAAAACGAATGTAACAAATTCTCACAAGCGTCACTCTTCAAGCGAATTCGTGCAATTCCTCTCTTCAATACTGAATATCTTTGGCATTTTGAAAATGGCTACAGCAAAAACATATGAATAATGGGTAACATTACGCAGACATAGAAGACTTATAATTTGGTTATCAGTTTGATCCGTTAGATTTCTATTCGACGTTCTTTCATAAAATGACTTCTGAAAAACTCGTATCGGTGTTGGTTTATTCAGAGGCCGGCATGCTGTCATAATGGTTATCGCTAGAAACATGATCACGCAGTGACCTTCACGCAAATGTCGTTTAACCGGTTGTGCATTGCCTTTTCGTACGAGAATCATAAATTTTGCTGCGGGTGCGCCCAAGTATGTGGTACAGTGTACAAGCATGGGATTTTTTTTGAACGGAGAATTCAGCATAGGATTCGAAATGAACACTCTGATTGAACGATTTAAAAGATTTATCATTAAATGATATACTGTAAGAGGCAATGCTGTTGACGACAGCATTGCCTCTTACAGTACATCATTTAATAATAAATCTTTTTTTTGGATGCACATACGGAATGCATTGTGCTGTATTGCTTGATTTTGTTGCACTTGATTTGATCATTCTTCCGAAAATTTATTTCTTGAATATTCCTACTAGCAAAGCTGCCCACTTCATCAATATTTATGACTTCATTAGAGGGTCAAATTACTCACTTCAAATACGCTTAATTTGAGCAGCATTCAAAAATGGGGTCTCATTTAAAAACCAACTGATTTGGCCAATCCAGCTTCAACTGACTGATCGCAAAGAGATGTTTATGTTTGCTTTGTATTAATTTGCATAATGAAGACAACTGGTATTTGCCATAGAAAAATAAGTAGTTCAGTACTCATTAATGTGCTTTGAAAACTGCACCAATGTGTACGTAAGTTTTGCTTTCAATTGCACAATCAGCCGCACTAAATAAAATTAATGGAAGTATAGTATGAAAGTGGGCTGAATTTACGAAATTGATAAGAACTGATTGATTTTGAGGTAAAAACTTGGGCACCTCAGTCACCTGACTGGAATTACTGCGTAATAACTGAAGTTATTGTGCAATTGCAAACAATTGGAGGAGCCTTCGAGTGTGCGAAACTAAAATTTTGGTGCGAAAACGACCAGACAAAATCAGAAAACGATGAATGTTTCCGATGGATACTCAGCGCATCTACAACTAAAGTACAGTATACTTACATTGTTGGGGGCATTCCTCTTTCCGAACACATTTTCCGCTTACGTCTATTCTGTAGCCTTCATATGCCGGGCAAATGCACCTCCATCCCAGGCAATCCGTTCTACAGGCCATCTGAAATTCATTAGAAACAATCGCAAATCAGTTGAAATTTTTTTTCGAATCCATCAATTTTACTTATTATCCGACGTTAAACTTCCGAAAACAATCTTTGACGGCTAGGAAGTGCCAATTTTGCATGGTTTCAACATTCTGTTTCATTACTGATTTCATCATCACCGTGGAGTGAACGTTATTACGAGGTTTGAAAATCACAGGAAGGCGTTAAGCTATGCGCACGTAAAGCAAAAGTTAGTTAAGGACTTTTGTATCAACAAAAATGCGTAATCTATGATAAATCTGCTATCAATTGCAGAGCGAAAGCAGATAGGCTCAGGTGGTGATAAAATTCAATTTAATCTCGGTCTAGTTTCCTCCCACCATCTCATGCAAGCAACCCAGAATCAAATTGGTTTATGTTGGAGCTGAATACCTCGGAGGATCATTCGTCGATTTCAATGATCAAATATAGAAGCTAATCATCAGCCAATGACATTGTGCTGATGAATAAATTTTTGATCTTCGTTGTTAAAATTGAATTGTGATAAGATGATAACACACTGCTGATAAACTTTTCACGATCTTTGCATCTAATTTCGTTAAAGATAAATTGTGAAACCATACCAATGATTCTCCACAATATTGCTCGCACGATCCGCATTCCATGAACACTCTATTTTCAACGCATTGTGGTGGCGAGAGTCCCGTGGTCGCATGAACCAACAGCATCTGTCAATGAATTTTAAGTATTTAAGTGACTCTGAGCATGACGTTGAACACTTCATAATGTGCACTACGAAGTCTGCCGCTTGGAATGCTTATAAACTTCTTATTCAACTACAGAATAAAACTTTGATCGTGATGTTCATCAGTGACAAATAACCCTTGCTCCATTTCAGTGATTCTGAGAACATAGATGCATGGACGGAATTCATTTGATTTTTTTTTTCATTATATTGGATTTGAATGTCGAATAAGTCATGAGCTCACCAAAACACCGATTGATGTAATCATTGTGCTGGTTTGTGAGACTGCAGCTCTGATTTGTAAGATCCTTTGATGAAGTTTAAATATTAAGATAAGTGTTTGACGAACTGAAACAATTATCAACGAAATGAACTTTAAAATTTCTATTACAAAGCAGATGAGGTGTTCTTCAAATGAAATCAGTGAGATCGTATTGCACTTGCTTGCTTAAACCGTTCCAACGTTATTCGAATATATTGTGAAGCCTAGATTATTTCTCAATTCATTTCAAAGCGGAGCTTAAAATTTTGAGGGTAGAAGACGTTTCAATAATCGAAGGACAGTATTTTGAGATCTGAAGATCCAGCTCATTTAAACTCAGCCTTACATTAACTTCTAAGCTAGACAGTGATTTCGAAAATACAAAACAGTTTACGCCCATAAAACCTTTGGCAACAATTTCACCAAGTTTATTTGGTTTTTTTGTGAGCACAATGAGCGTTCATAAACAACAAGGATAAACACAAGAATCACTTTCATTCGAAACTGATTATGAATCTGCGCAAGTATTAGTCGAATGATATCTACTTGGCAAATTTTGATCACGATACGAAATCAGTGGCTGTTTGAGTGCGATGAAGGGCTGGATTTGCTAACATCATTTTCAAAAGTTATACTTATTTTTGAACGACTGAATTGGTTGAATTAGTTCAGTACGAGCTACAATAGAATGCCTAATTCGGTAGGAACCGACAAACGTTTTAATTAGAAGAATGAAATATGTGCGCTCGTTTCAGTAATAAAACAGAAAGAACAAATCATGAAAACTGTGTGATCGCGATGATTTCAACGAAGCGATCGCAACAAAGGAAGCCTGAAACAATGAGTGAATCGCTTGATTTCATGACCATGACTGTCCGCCGAATTCAGCATTCATGCTACAATCAAGATTGAGCGTTGTAATAATGATGCACAAACGAACGATGATGTTCACACGTGAAGGTTAATCTAATTGAAAATTAGTCGTTGTTTTATCCAATGATTTCATTTTCGGTTGATCGCTTTCTAAAGCACCATCACTGTGAGATGTGACATTTCTCTGAATATCGCGCAGTAAACTGGTCAATCTGTCGTGAATTGAACGTTGTCAAACAAATGTGCATTCAATTAACACATTACACATCTTTGCAGCAGCGAGATTTGATTAATTCAAAGAGAATAGAAATTCATCAAAGCGGTTGCGACAGTGTGATGAACAGTGTCGCAGACGGGTATTTCGGTTCTCCTCGAAAATGTGACTATGATTGGTTGCCGTTTCGAATTGCGATATCATGGACAATGTTTGTTCATTTCGTTATTGCAGTTACATGAATGTTTCAAAAAACGCTGCATGACAATAGTGTTTACTTAAGTAACAAAAAAACAATTGCATTAAAGCATCGGGCATCTTCTTCCAAGCTGCTGGCACTTGGTCAGTTTGTTTTGAAACATTCACTGAAAACGCAACAGTAGCTTTCTGTGCAAAATCGTTTATTCGAATACTGCTTCAATGACATAGAATGCTGATCTTCCATGACGATCAACATTGTTAATTTGAAAAATTCGCAGTTTGAAATGAGCAAAAAAACAAACAGTCAATGAGCAGCAGTAACAGAATAGATTATTGAAATCAGAAGTTTATCAAACCAACTTCCAAAGATTTTTGTCACGATCATGTTATGAATGTTGATTTATTAGCAAAATGCTTCAGGAACGCATTGACCGTGCCGTGTGAATCGAACGTAGCCCTTTTTGCAGAAGCACCCTTCTGTACAATTTGTGTGGCATAGTAACGGCCCTCTGTTGGTACAGATTTCTTGACAGACATTCCCGCACACGCGATATTCTTCATTTGGGGGACACACATCTGAAATCAATCGCTGACTTACGTGATGCATGAGTGATGTGATAGATCAAAGATTCGTTCCAGCAACCACCAACTGAAATGCATCACAGTTACATCGCGTAAATTAATGAAAAATGCGGATTTTCCAAGGAATAATGAGATGACAGAAAGAGAAGAAAATTGAAAACAAAAACTGAAAAAAAAGAAAATTGGAAAAATATCCCAGTTTGAAGTCAATACTCTTGCAAATGAATCTCGCATAATTTGTCAGCGTTCGTTGAGAAGTCAGGTTCCCGATGGGGAATTTGACAGAAGAAATTCCTCGACATTGTTGTTCCCAAACATTTTGGCCGGGGTTTTCTCGAGCGGACTTCCTTCCGAGGCGAATTTCCTTCACCGATATTGCTCGCTAAATTTTTCGTCAACGTTCTCTTCCGATCAAATCACTATGCTATGGGGAGCACGAGCTACCAGACGACGATTCCCCAAACATTGCAAATATTTGCGAAATCTGCTTTTGGGTGGCTGGAGTTTTGAATGCGAGAATGGCGTTCTTTCTGGCAATCCGTAAAATTCTCACTGCTGTGGCAATGCACGCATTTAGAATTCAGCTTGATCCGTTCAAAAAAACTGCAATCCAAATTCAGGCTAACGTTCAGTTTTTTGCTTCAGCGGAGGCTTATGATGGGCGGAAATACACCCGCGTTTACACCGGGTTGTATCGGAAGCCCCTGAGCACGACGAAAATTTTTGGTTCAGCGGAGAGGGTGTTCTGCCTCCTAGCCGCGGTGGTCCCTGGCCAGATTCCGACCCGATTCAGTTTTTTTCCGCACGTTGTCGTTCGTTTCGGCGTGAGATGACGAGCAGCAAGCATCGTTGAGCAAACACTGATTTATAACAACGGTGAAAGTCAAATCTTGGTTCAGTCGAAACACTCATTATTTCTGCCTTTTCAGAGAGAGATTATCTCTCTTTGTTGTTGCATATCGGCAATGTGCTATTCGCATACCTTCACGTGTGTAGCTAATGTTTAGTTTTCGTGTGAGTGTAGAAATTTCGGAAACTTTAGTACGAGTCATGCCGATGTTCGCCAGAGGGAGGAGAGCGGCAAGCTCGAGACCAATGCAGAAATATGTGTGATGGGAAGCGCGCGCGTCCATTAATGTGTGAAGATGAAGATCCTGAGCCACGTAAGACGCAATGCGCCTGAGCTAGTGATGGCATCCGACGACCTTCAGTAACATGGCT